CTTAAAATGTTTATTTGTGTCCGACACAATGTATTGACTGTAGTTTAATGCGTGTTCTTATGAGTCTGGGTTCACAAAGATTTTACAATTACTGGGAATTGCGAATGCGTTCTCATAATAAGCATTAAATAATACCAAAATGGCAAATGGCACTGCTCCTTAATGAGCATGGGCACCCCCCTTTTTTATTTCAAAATTGACGTTATCATATGACAAATATTCAGTGGACAAAATTTGAACAAAAATATATTGTCACTTTTATTTCAGAGGAATTACAGTGTACCTTAATTACTTGACGTCCATGTTACGTGCTGAGGAATGATTTGTCAGTTATTTTTTCGATCACATCCATATCTTCAGCGCTAAATAGATAATTAGCTAGGCACTTCAAATAGATAAGCACAACAATAAAGTAAAACAGCTGGACTCACCCGAAATCCAAGGACGCTAAGTTCTACGCAAAGACTTTTACGCTCTTTCGTCAACACATTGAGATAGACGCACTCGCGCGAAGAAGGAAGATTCTTGGAAATGCTAATCGATTCTACCGTAAATCCAATGTCTTCTATCACTAATCCCGCTTCCACTTTAAAGTCAATTTCTTCTTCTTCCATTTTCAGAAAGCGACGCAACTTTGGTCAACCTTCCATCTACACTCACCACATGCAAACGATCCGTGGGAAAATAGATAAACAACAAACGACGACGAACGGGAGAGATCTGAGAGATCTGGGAATGACTGACCCTTCTGTAACAGCAATACAATGCGCCAGCAGTAGTTAATCTAAACCGCCATGCGCTAAAGTTTGCTTGAGCCCGCGTCATATTGGGTCTTCAGTCGTTTCTGCCTCGTGCTATCACGTCGTGTAAAATAGTACTAACTGAAGCACCGTACTGACAACTCCAACAGTTCAAAAGACTTCGTCAAAATGAACTCTTTCAACAACAAGAGACCGGCTTATATGTGTAAGTAATTTCTCTGTGATTTTTTTTTCAAACAGTCCAATTTATTAAGATTTTGTTATGTTGGTGTTGAACTTTAGATGCCAAAGGTTTTAAGCTTGACAAATTTCTTGGAAATTTACAGGTTTGTGGAGAAAATTTTATTTATAACAGATAACAAGGTGCCCTTAGTTACCCTAAGATATCCTATTAAACAATATTAACCTGTATTTGTCTTAATCATGTAAGTACGTCTTACTCTAGAAAATGTCCCTTTTTAGTAAAGGGATTCATCCTTTGGCTAGTTGTATTTGACACAGAAATAAAGTTATTGCTACCATTACACTGGAGATTAGCACCTTATGGCCCATTAGCTTGAATGCAGACTTAATCTTTACTTACTTAAATATATAGATGTGTTTGTTTTGATTGTGCACAGGGTTATAAAATTGCCACAGGTCAAGTGAGTAAGGAAGAGCTTAGAAATGTATCTGATAGATATGGTAAGTACAGGAGACATAGAGTAGTCCTGCTGTACGACAGAACAAGACTGTCTCATGATTCCTAGCTACAAGTAGCATGTGGCTTATTAGTTTTGCATTTGACTCTGTTGACTGTGTCGACGATGTTATTTTGAGCCAACAAAGTGAGCTAGTAAGGCATTGAACTGAGTTTGCCTCGGACAGTTGAGCAAAGATTGTTTAAGTTACGACCAAGTTAAACTCAAGTCGACGCTGACCAGTATATGTATGTTGTGGGCATGAATGCTTGCATTGTAGGCATAAATGGGGGAAAAGGTGAAAGAAATGCTCAGTTGTTTTTTAGATCTCTTTGAACCAGATCTTGTAGTATATTTCTTGCAGTCTGATAACACAGCTTAAAAAATGACTAGAAAGTAGCTTAGCTAGACAACTTACATTTACTTTAAATACTATCCAATATAAAAAAAAAATAAAAATGAAGAAGAATTCAAAACAAAACAATAATTGGCATTCAACTAAATCTTAGGTACATCACTGAGAAAGTTGTTTGTGTTTTACTGTAGGTTCAGATGAAGGTGTAGTGTTTGGATCTCTCATAACAAGTGCATGTGGAAGTTCCAAGAACGAAGGTGCTAGAATTAATAGATTATTTCTATCCTGGCAGTTAGAAAGTCCAGTACTTATTGTGAAGACAGAGATCTTGCAGAAGATGTTTGGAGTAACTATTACCTATATATGCAAAAGAAACAGAAGGATAGGAAATGGAGAGTTCTAAAATTCATGCATTATTAATAATGTATCTCAAGCCCAATTTACCCAGTCACTCTGATCTGGGTTAATGGTTGGAAAGACCTTTTCTGCCTGTAGAATTGGAGTATATATTAAGTGATGCCAATTCTGGCCAAAGGTTATGATGTCAGAAGTGGAACAAAGGCCAATGCTCATCCTGGCTGGTAACAGTCAGTAGAGGAACCAATAAGTTAATAAGAACTTCAATGTAAATTCTATTATATTGCGCAGTTTGTCGGTGAAAGAATCTCCTAAGTCGGAGGGAGTAACCTTGTGTTTTATTCTGTTATTGACAGATGTCAGGAGAGAACCACCAGCAAAGAGAAGGAGGAGAAGAAGGAGAAGAAAGCAAAACAGCAACAAAGAAGATGCTGAAACTTTGGATTCTGCTAGTACAGTTGTGAAGCCAAACTTAAATTCCTCTCCTTTGACCCCTTCTGAACCACTCACTATTCCATCAGCACTGCTAGGTACATGCATAATGTCATTAATTGTCAGCATTCAAATTCTCATCACTTGTGTCTAGATACCCATCTTGTATATATTTTTATTTTTATTTGGTGACCATGCAGTTTCTAATTCTCACAAGTGAAATAACTGTTGTGTTGATAACTCGAGGAGAAATAAGATTCTGATCATTATTTGCCCTGCAAAAAATGCTTAAATCTACAGTGTAAGTTGTATGTTCACCACTTGGGCAGCTGACCTGTGATTATCAAATGCCACAAGGAATTTATCTTCAGTTGAAAATTCATGATCATGCTCATGCTTTTTCAGTCTTCCACAATTTTATAAAGTCATATATAGTATTTGGTTCATACGTTTGTTCAGGCAATGTTTTTTCAATCAGGTGCAGTATGCATATGTCTAACAGAGTGCTAACCTATGGAAGGTGTAAGACCCTATGCTGTACTATTCTATTTATATAAATAGAACAACATAGAGTCTTACTCCTCCCATATGGGATGCTGGCCTAGACAGCTAGTACCGCCTCATATGTAACCCCCATCATTTAATTCATTTGATGAGTACACTTTTATATACCTGTTTGAAGAGGGACAATGCAAGACTGATAAGAAATACTTTGTCCAAGAACTCATCATGCAATACCTTGGTAGGGTGAACCCAGATCACCTGATACTAACCATGATGCAACTGTGCCTCGCATCAAAGACTTAAAAAAAACTATCGTTTACAAGAATTTTCCACTTATATCAGAAATGATTATTAAATTAGTCGTCTCTTTAGATGATTGACTGTTCCATATGTAGCTCACTGTCAAAACTATGTTCAGTAAGTTGTAAATATATTCTTATAAAAGTCCTGCAACTGGTCAGTTATTGTATGTGTAATGATTGTTTGAATCAATTGAAAAATGTTATTTTCAAACTCATTAATAATTCATCAAGTTTAAACAAAGGAATTCATGACTGTGGCAGTGTTTGGATATTTGATCTTAATTAGCATAGATTTTCACGATTTTATTTCTCCATTTTCTCCTTAGCTTTAGTTTTGATTGAGAAGGTATATCAAACACTCAAGACAGCATTTGACCACAGTTCCAAACACCTTGAAGTTAATTAAAAATACTCTGCTGTGCGTCGTTTTTCAACTCTCTTCTTGGTGTTTGGAAATGTGGTCAAACACAGTCTTTCATGTTTGATATATTACTTAATAAACATGTCTTTTCCCTCTGTCTAGCGTACAAAGACTGTGACTCCTCAGATGACAGTGATCTTAAAGATGACAAAGGTGGAGATTCTTCATCTGAAAGCATGGAGAGTGATGAAAGCACAGAAGAAGATAATATAGATTTTTTTGGACTAAATTCCAAAACGGAGGTTACTAGTAGGGTTTTTGTTTTTGAAATACTAACTACATTATTTTTAATATTAATGTAATGTAAAATGTAAATTTTATTTATAGTGGTCATGCACTTAGCTTTATAAGCGTTAAGCTTAGCTAGTTTACAGTCATGCCACTGAAACAAAGGAAACAAATATTTCAAATAAACATAACACAGTTAAAAATCCCAACTGGCAGGAGGCAGACCAGTTGGCTACAAATGTATTTAGAAAGTGTGACCGAGGATTTGAACTTGGGACTACCGCAAAACAAATCCTGTTAGTGGCAGGATGAAGGCCTTGAACCGAGGACCTCCAGATTACAAAACCAGCACTCTAAACCACTCCGCCACGCTGCCTCTGCTAATAATATATTATTTTTTAATTGACAAAATTGTATTACAGGTCTGTAATTAAAGATATAATTATTGTAAAGTACATTTGTGAACTTCTTTAACAGAACTTGAAATCAGACAAATCAATAAAAACACCTGGTGAAAGTTCAAGCAGAATTCCTTCTTTAATTACAGTGCCGGGCCAGAAGCGTAAGGAAAGGCAGTCAAGGTATATTACACATTCCCCAAGCATGCTGTATGATTATGTTTAAAATATTTAATAGGTGTGTTTTTAATAGGTGAGAGTATGTAAGATAGTTGTGTCAAATAGACCAATTTCAATTAATTAAGATCCAGCCTAAAATGATAGACCTCGGTACAAGGCTCTGGGGAATAACTACAGAGTTTGTGGGGTTTATTCCCCAGAGCCTCGTACTAAGGTCTATTGTGTTAGGCTGAATTATATCGAAATTGGTCTTTTATTTTTGAGATATATTTTAGTATTGTGGTTAGTCCTATTAGTTATTAATATGACTTGTTTGTGTTTACAGAGCCTCATCTTGACACTTGGGGCCGGGGTTAGGAGAATTCTTGAAAGTCCTGCAAACCCTCGACTACTTCTTACATTTGCATAACTGCCTCAAATTCTCCCAAACCCCCTTATGTTTAGATGAGGCTTTGAAGACACAGAAAAAGTCCTCTGTTGCTAAGGAACCAAGCACATGTACAGTCTGATGGTTTTGATTTTTAAAATGGCCTAGTGGCTGATTCATTAAATATTGAAGGACTTCCTTTTTCATTTTGACACTCCAACCTTGCGCATGACTGTGTAACTCACTAAAACTCGTCTTTCTAAAATGACACAGTAGGCACAATCATTTTAAGCAGGCCACTGGCTGTAAAAGAGTGTTTGAAAAATTATTATTAATAATTTTGGATTCCTCTTGAATCTTTTCAGAGGGCAGCCTTATCAATCAAATCTTCCAGTACAACAGTCAGAGGTCTGGGACTCAACAAAGCTGAAATATAAAGATCAAATCAGCACATTGTCAAGTTATAAATGGTAGGTTACAGAAAATCATCAAAACTAACCTGGATGCAAATTTAAATATCATTTTACACTGATACACTATCTGTGTTTTGCTGTTTTCAGCTGGCAGTGTAAACGTGTAGGTCACCTTCCACAAGATTGCACTGTGAAGACTGGTAACTCCACAATAGGTATGTACTATATAGAAATTATCTTTGAAAGCAAATTTTCTGAAAAGCGTTTTGGGAATCCAATGTTATTTTTTCACGTTGTAAATGATGCAGCGTGTTTTCTTTTGCTATATTTTTTGTAGAATCAGTGTTTGATGGTGGTCAGTCCAGGGTTCCTCACAATCAACAGGTGTGGTTATATTTAATTCATACACTGTTTTCCTGTTTTCTCCATATCTTGCAACTTTTCATTTGCTTCCCTCTGGTTAGTTTATCTAGTCTTCCTTTTGGATGAGCTGCTTTAGCCTGATTTTATTATATGTGCACACACTTTAAATTTAAGATTAGAGGTCTGTGGCTGCATGATACTTCTTTTGTTTTGTTTTTTTTTTTATCACATCTTCTCTTAGGAGGTTACAAAATAGTGATTTCAAGATGTTTTTTTCATTTCGAGAGAACTTACCAGGGACTAATCAATGAATAAAATCTTCATGTCTATTACCGGTACATGCCACCCATTTTTTTTCTCTTTACCAGTGAAACAGTTATCTGTGGTCATGGTGTGTCGTGACAGATAGCATCTTAAGGTCACCTGTCAAATTATTTCAAGGTTATTGGATCATTTATTCACTTTTATTGGCATACATGCTTTGCCAACTGTTACACCTCACTCAGATGTTCTGAGTTGCTTGTATCTGTTGTTTTCATAGAGGAATTCTCAAGGATCAGTTTACTCCAGCTCATTAAAAGAATATTACAAAAGGTGGGTGACTAGACCAACCCATAGTCTTGCTAATTGTGTGTTAGCCCTCCCTGCTCTTTATTTTTGATGAAATGGATTTCCTGGCTGCCGAAGCAATACAGCTGGTATCAATACGTCCTGGTTTTACAATACTGATTTGGTATGTGTATGCACACCTAAATCATTTTCTCCCTTCTTTCCAGATGCCAAAAGCTTCGAGAATCGAAAGATGTCAGGTGCAGTGAGTGTGGTGTGAGGTCAAATTTGGCTTACTGTTTTGAGTGTGGGTGAGTAAAGGCTCTTACAAGTGCAGTTAATGTACAGTCATGTATAGTCATGTACTTCCTGTAACTGGACACCTTTGGGACTGCTGTCTGTTGCATTCTGCTTAGGAGAGGTGATAATTGTAGGACAAAGACGATGTGTTTGCAAGTACATTATATGTAGCTGGGATCCTGAATCGATTAAGTATCTGCCCGTGGGAGGTGTCCACCTCTGGGAGGTGCTCGTCTGCTGGGGGTGTCTATTAGAGGGAGATGTCCATTTCTAGGTGTCCCTCTACAGGAGGTGTCTCAGATCGAAGGAGTTGTCCATCTGCAGGAGGTATCCATCTGTGGGAAGTGTCCATTTGAAGGAGGTGTCAATTCGTGGGAGGTGTCTGTCTAGGCAGTTTTGGCTGTATATGGAGTGTAATGCTTTTAACATTCTCCTTCTTTTATACTCCACGTCGGTGTTAGTTGAATGTCATTTAAGTTCGTAAATCTGATTCGATTTACGACCTTCGAGTACAGTCTGTGCCAATTGCAAGTGGCAAATAAACACAAGTTGCTAACTTTCTTGGACTTACCACGCCGTTTGACCAGCATTGATATGCGTACTTGTAATTAATTTCGTTCACTTTGACTGCGTCTGACATAGGTCTATAGAAGATAGTCTTGTCTTGAGTACACACAATGGATTCGCACGTGCGTGGACTAATAAACTGACCTTTTAGTTAAAATTATGACCTCTTTGTATTGCCTGAGAGCTGACTGCTACACGGTGTTTTTCGTATGACAAACCGACTTTAACACTTTGCAAGTCAGTTTATGTTTCCGACATTAACCTTTGTCAACTAATGTGGCTTCATTTGCCAGGGCTTTCAACTCCGCTATTGTTTGGTTTGAGGTCACAAGGCACACACTACGTACTAATGATCTAGTCAATCCCTTTCAATTAGGTTTTTTTGTTTCTCAGATTAGTTTTATGTGATGGTCGTGGACATCTTATTGATCATCTTTTGGAATATCCCAGTCATACGAAGCTTTATTCGTACAAGCTTCAGAGACAGGTAGGAACGTCGTTACACAATATGTTAGAGTTATGCAAGAAATAATCGGGTTTTTTCAGGGTGCATTTCGCGCTTTTAATATAGAAGTTAATTCAAAGTAAAAAAACATTTGAAATTACGATCGTCTCCTCTTGTCTAGAAAGAACGTATACTTCTAGACAAATATCACACTCTTTAAAAATAAGTCAGTGTGGTAATGATTTTGAAAACGTGAAAGTTTGGGAGAACTCCAAAAAGTTGAGGAAACATCAATTGAAAGCATTCCTCGTTCACCCAAACCTCTATGACTCGATTTCTATTTTCTAAATAATTTTCAGATAAAGTGTTGCAAGTCAACTTGTGAAGTAATGGATACGACCGAGCTGTTAATGTGCTCCTCGTGCCTGGATAGAGCGTTCACCAGTCATTACTCCATGATCAATGCAACCTGGTAAGAAGTCTTCCATGCTTATAAACCTGTACAAATTACTGTGCAACTACAGTGGAACCCCGCTCTACGGACACCCGCTTAATACGGACACCCCGATATTACGGACAGTTTTGTTTTCCCCGACGAAAAGCTCATATATTTTTTCTAAAATTAACCCGCTTATTACGGACACCCGTTAATACGGACAACGGACACTTTTCTGTGTCCCGAG